AATACTGTCCTAAGAATGAAATGTAGTAGGATGCATTTTAAGTAAGAGTTGATACTTCATCACAAGTGCGGGGGATCGGAAGGCGATTCTATTTCTCTCTGTCTCTCTTCCTCTCCCTCTCTCTTCTTCATTTCATAATTCACGATGTACACTAAAATGGGTGTAGTATAGTTCATTAGCTCTCCAGTGTTGTAATAGACTAATCTTTTGTGTATATTCAGTGTATATTTGCTCTTTATACTATATAAACTCTGTGTAACGAAGTATTAGTTTTAGCAAGGAGGTATAAAAGGTAGCAGATATTTCTTATATATTTTATTGAAGAAGGAATCATTTAACTTCCCTTGTTAAAAACAAGTATGCAAAAGTACTGTGGCGTCACAGGATGACAAGGCGGTTCGCTGCGCAGGGATAATCGACTACAAGCAGAGGAAGGAAATGGGAAGGTACTTGATGAGACTAGTCATCACTCTGTCTGAGTGGTTGGTTTTAAATCACCCAAAAGTGCGTAGGTCATGCACGCGCATACGAACACACACCACGCACGCACACGCATTCTCTCTATCTTTCTCTCTCACACACACACACGCACACACACTTACACTCACACACTCATTCACACACTCACTCACACACACACACACACACACACACACACACACACACACACACACCAAAGTACAGGTACACACCATTTTTTTTTTTTTTTTTTTTTTGTGAAGTACAATTATAATGTCACAACAGTTTGGTCACAGTATTTCATATTCAATGTACCATCCTTACCAATCATACAAATCCAGAACTATTTTTACTCAAAAGGTATAAAAAAGTACATCAACTTTTTAGGATTTATTTATGTTTAAGGTTGTACTGTACTGAGATAACTGCAGTGGAAAAATATAATAAATAAATAAATAGTTCCTAAAAATACAGTAGTGTACATTATCAGCATCGTGTGCAACTACATTAACAATATAATGTATTCTATAACACGATCTTCACACTCGTTCAACCCTCAAGCAACTGGCAACTGGCTCGCAGAAGAATGAAGGCGGGCGTCACTGCCTTGCCAAATCTCAGTAATTATCAATGTAAAGCTCAGGTGTAATTAGGCCTTTTTGGCATTCTAATTATTAGAAGAATGAAGTGTTTTAAGAAATGTAAATTCACATTTTCATGAAGAGAAATAATCCATTTTTTCCTTCTAAGGGACATGATTTGGACACCAGCAGCCAACAGAATATATTAAGGCCTTCGTTGCTACAAACACACATGTACAGAGGAAACGTTAGCTAAGGGAAATTAGCTCTATCTCTACTTTTTTTATCCTAATTTATCTGGACTTTCAGCCTGAGATCCTTTTTTACTGGTGATTATGATTTAACAAAATCGATATTATGAAGATATGAGGAAATACCTGAAGGATATTATGTAACTTATGATGTAAAAATCACATTGTTGATGTTCAGTGTTTTTCTTTATTTTGCAACAATCAGTGAGTGCAAGAACTCTGTGTTGAAATGATTTTTAGTAACCTGTAATTATTTACAACTTTAAAGGCACACTAATGTGCAAACAAAATCTATGCACTAAATATTCTCATTCATGATAATGCCCCAGTACTTGCTGAGATGGCACAGGATTTTGCTATCTACATTTCTGACTTCTCTATCTGTAAAGCAATTAGTGTGAAGAAAGAGCATTCTAAATAGCAAAAGCCCTTTACAACTTTTTTTCGAAAATGCTTTCCGTGTCCGTGAGGCGTGAATGAAAGCATGTATGATCACTGTGCACGGCGATGCTGTTGATTCCACAACCTAGTATTGTGGTGCAGATTTTATCCAATAGCAGTTTCTATGCTTTATTCAAGGAAAGGAAAGAAAAGAGTTGAACCTGCATTTACCTACTTTCTAAAATGAAAGTATGTAATAATAATAATAATAATAATAATAATAATAATAATAATAATAAAAATAATAAAGGCCAAATCTAATCTAACATTCCTGCAGTCTCTTGTTCTAAAACTTTTATTTTCCTGAAAAGGCCTAAGTCTCAATCTCATCGTATATCAAGCTCATATCGCAGGTTGGTTGATGGCGGGAAAAAAGATGAGGATGGTGTTTTGTGCATGTGCTTTTAGGTGTACAAGTGCAAGTTGGTGGAAAGTATCCGCTTTATTTTTGTGTATTGTGTATTGTTCCAGTCATGAATGTTGTGTGGAAAGTGCGAGTATTTATAAGAATCTGTAATAGTAAGGTATGTCATGTATTTCTGGTTGTGTGATACCTGTATTGGGTGTATTTGTGTGGTGTAAGTAATCTTGTTTATTTATGCTTGTCTGTGTCCAAGTGTAGATGTTTAATGCGTGTGGTGAAGTTTGTAGTGAACCTGGCTGCTGCAGCATTAATCTTTTCTAATTCACTGATATTTGTTTGTGTGTATGGGTCCCATTGTCCCGGACAAGTGTATTGTATCCAATGTGCAAGTTTCTCCTCAGGAAACACCGTGTTCTATTAGCTTTATGTTGTACGTTTTCTATGTGTGTATTAAACTTCATGCTGGGGATTTGGGGATCTGTGTCAATGGGGTCGAAGGGGGATGTAGTGGTCCAGTTGATGTATGGAAGGTTGAAGTTGCCTGCGATCCAAATGTCTTTTTCTGGAGTGATGTGATGTAAGATATGTATGAAGATTTTGTAAGTATTCTGTGAAGGAAGATGGGGATCTGTAGAAAGCAGCAAACAGAAGTGAATTACAGTTAGAAATCTGTAGTTGGATCCAGGTGATCTCAGAGTCTGTGTCAAAGTCAGGCCTATGTTTAATAACCCATTCGCCCCATGTGGCAAGAATACATGCCATGCCCACTGTAATACACGTTTATTTATTGTATTTACACATAGATGGCTCTACAAGTTCTTAATCACCAAAGAGCCAGTTATCAGAACTACCTATCTCAAATGTTTACCCTTTTCCTTCACTTTAAGAAAGGGTCTTTTGTATCATTTCATTCTCTAAAATATTTTAATGACCATTTAATAATCATGAAATCAATAACAATAATAACAGTATCGATAGCAATGGTATTAATAACAAAAGCACATTTTCCCGCCAATTCAAGGAATGGGGAAATCAGGATCGGTAACTAGGGCCAACAGATAGACTCCTTGCCAGCTGAGCACACGTGGAGCCATCTGCATGTAACAAAATTCTCTAAAAACTACAGGGGACAGAACATAAATTTGGGGCGAATGGGTTAATAGCTAAGTCAAGTTTGATGGCAATGAGGACACCGCCACTCTCCCTATGTTGGTCGGGATGTCTCTACATATCACTGTCATACTATAATGGGGAGGGAAGACTTCCAGAGAGCCTATGTCAGATGTCAACCATGGCCCTGTACCTATTATGAGGTGTCAGGTGTCAGGTGTGATGCTGGGTTGTGGTGGGTCATGGCTGGGGGCATGGAAGATGAGGAGGAGGTTCTGGGAGGAGGAGGAATGATCAGGTGGTGCACGAAAGCCTAGGGGCTAAAGTCAGAGGGTGGCCAGGAGCAATGGGAGGTGGCACTGAGTATGAAGGTAAATTCGGGGTTTGGGTGTCGATGGTGTCGAGTGTGTATATGTGGGGGGTTTCTGGGAGGTGTGCATAAGGGTTCATGTTGTGTCATTAAGTATGTTGAAGGAATTAATAAGTTGAAAGGAGGAAAGATAGTAGGAAAATATGGGAGTGTTCGTAGAGCCACACCTACTGCAAATTAATACAATACTATTGTTAATTTGTCCACTGGATGCCTATAAATGATCCAATACAGCTGCCATGGTACCAGCCAGCGTGCTCAGACCGCTTACAACAGACATCACACTGGATGGCCCTTTGCCCTTATTTCACCACTTTTGTGCATGGCAGCAAGGTTACTTTGTTTGGTAAGGGCCAAGGTTAACAAAAGCACCAGTATCTCCAAAGAGGAGAAGCAGCAGACGGATGGTGTGTCTAGTAAGAGGACTTGTACTGTTGTTTGTTTTGGAGCATCGTGTGACAGTGAGAATAAATGGATTATCAGTACTTGTACATTCCTTGGGTGTGATGAGAGGATGTAACTTCCCTTGTTAGTGTGTGAAGATTAAGTGCTAACAGTGTACTTGTTATAACACAGGAGGTAAGGTGTGGCTCTACCTTTGGATTAGAATATTCTTATCTTCTGTGGGAATGTTTGTGTATGGTGGTGTCCTGTTGATGGCTGGGGTGATACTAACAGGGGTGACAGTTATTTAGGACATTTGGGTACCACCTTGCCAAAAACTATTATGTAAAAGAATCTTGTACTTAAACTTTACCAATGAAAAAAAAAAAAAAAAAAAAAAAAAAAAAAAAAAAAAAAAAAAAAATTATATATATATATATATATATATATATATATATATATATATATATATATATATATATATATATATATATACATATATATATATACATATATATACATATATATATATATATATATATATATATATATATATTATATATATACATATATACATACATATATATACATATATACATACATATATATACATATATATACATATATACATACATATATACATACATATATACACATATATATACATATATACATACATACATATATACATACATATACATACATATACATACATACATTCATACATATATACATACATATGCATACATATACATACATACATTCATACATATATATATATACATATATATATATATATATATATATATATATATATATATATATATATATATACATAAATATACATATATACATATATACATATATACATATATATACATATATATACATATATATACATATATACATATATATACATATATATACATATATACATATATACATATATATATATATATATATATATATATATATATATATATATATATATATATATATATATATATATATATATATATATATATGTTTAAAATGTTCAA